GAAATCACACTGTATAGCCCAGTGGTTCTCAACCTGTGGGTCGGGACCCCATTTGGGGTCGAATGACCATTTCACGGGGGTCGCCAAACCATGCTGTCCGCCATTTTTTTCCCTTTTCCCTAGCTGTCCTACTCCCTCTTATTGGTGGCCACACCCATTTGGGGGTCACCACAACATGGGGAACTGTATTATGGGGTCACGGCATTAGAAAGGTTGAGAATCACTGGTATAGCCCATCAAATCATCCAGGTCATTCAAGAAAGAAGCAGGAGCCCAGGGGAAAAAGTTTCCAATGAAATTTCTTGATCAATTCAACATGGTAGTTATGTATGGGAAACTAATTACAAAAGAAACTATTACAAATACAGTACTCTAATATAATACAATATTTTGAGATTGTGTTCCCATTTAAGGGCACTACAATAGCAGTGCAAAAGACTGGACGTGATTAATTATGTACCGTCAAGTTGTTATCAACTCTTACTGATCACACAGATAGATTTTCTCCATGATGATCTGCCCTTAACCTGTTTTTCAATGGTGTACATAGTGTGACTATAGTTGGGTCTATCTACCGTGTTTCCCCGAAAGTAAGGCCTACCCCGAAAATAAGCCCTAGCTTGATTTTTGGGGGTGGGCCTAATATAAGCCCTACCCCGAAAATAAGCCGTAGTTTTGGGGTGAAGCACACATCTAAAAATCAAGCGGGGTGGGGGGGAGCTGTCCCACACACCCTGCACCCACTTAGCCAGGCCTCTCCTTTCCAGCTCACTTCTTTTGCAGCCAGGTCTGCATTTCTCAATCACAGGCCTTTCTGAAAGGCCTCTGCAGCCAAGAACCAAGCTATGGATTCAATCCATATCTCGGTTCTGCAAGTCCTATGCAGCCGAGGACCGAGCTATGAATTCAATCCATAGCTCAGTTCTCGTCTGCAGAGACCTGCCGGAAAGGTCTGACTGCAAAATGCAGGCTGGAATGCAGCTGCAGAATGAAGTTGCTCCTTCGGCGCAGAAGAAGTGGACCGGCTGGGCGGGGCTGTCGGTGTCGGAGGTAAGACATCCTCCGAAAATAAGACCTGGTACCTCTTTTGGAGGCAATTTTTTTTAAAAAAAATAAATAAATAAGACCGGGTCTTATTTTTGGGAAAACATGGTCATCTTCTTCTTTCCTTCTATCTTTCCCAGCATTACAGTTTCTCCCAAAAACTGTCTTTATATAATGGGTCTGAAGTAGGATAATTTGAGCCTGGTCATTTGTGTTTCAAATGAAAAGTCTAGGTTGACTTGTTCAGTGATTCATTTGTTTGTTTTCTTGGCTGTCCTGGTATTCCCAAGAATCTTCTCCAACACAAAAGTTCAAAAGTATCCATACTCTTCCCAGTTTGCTTCCTCAAAGTCCAATTTTCACTTCTACAGAGAATCCCAAAGAGTAGCAAGGCTTGCAAGATTCTGATCTTTGTAGATATAGATACAATAGTTGAATATCTTTTCCAGGACTTCATGGCTGCTTTACCAAGTGTTAATCTATGGCAGGCATGTCAAATTCACGATGTCACATGATGTCGCGCAACATATTGGACCGGTTTTGCTATTGCCGGCAATGGGGTGAGGGCGGCTTCCATGTGATGTGTCCGGCCCGTGGGCCGGCAATTTGACCTCCCTGGTCTATAGTGTATTTCTTGATTGCTTGTTCCTTTATTGTTCGTGGTTAATTCAAAAGGCAGAAAGTATCTATTACTTCAATACCTCCACTGCCAGTTCTCAGGCTGCTTCTACCTACAATCATTATTTTGGTCTTTTTTATATTCAATTATAGCCCCATTTTTTTCACTGTGCTTCTTGACTTTTATTATTACAGCTTGCAGGTCATTTGCATTTTTGGGTTTTAGGGTAGTGTCATTCACATAGTACATGTTATTGATGTTTCTAATATCTCCCAAACCAATATTGTAGCACATGCAGTGCATCAGAGAACAGAGCAGTAGATTAATTCATCAAAGGTTAAAGATTTTGTCTACAAAAGATGTGGATTCACAAATGCTAGAAATTAAGAAATTAAAGTCATGAAGCAAGCATGCATTTACCTGCAAAGGTAGATAAATTCTACAATTGTATAGAAAAAATGTGGTTCAGCTCAGTTCTATAGGGAGGAAGAGACAACCCACTCAAGGTTCTCTCTTACATCTCAGAGAACATGAAACCTGAGCATCTATGAAACAATCCCTTTCCCTTACTCCACTTCTCCTTTGATGAGACAGAAAATTATGGTTCTAACCTAAAAGCAACCATATAAGTGTCTCTGTACTAATCAACATGCCATGTACTGAAGTCTGTTTTTTCTCTTTGTGTCTTTCAGTATATTAGCTGATGAACTGACAGCAGCAAAAGAAGCTAAGGGGGAAAAAAACAACTGACAAAAGAAAGTAGCATAGACAACATAGTTAATAGGCTCTGGGTTTTTGCATCAATTGAATCAAATGGCTGAGAAAAGAAAGCTGGGTAAGCAAACAATATGAAAAAGGATGAAAGAAGACAGAAATATGAAGTTTTCAAAGCCAGATGCAGAAAGAAAATCTATCCAATTGAAAACAATTCCTTGTAAACGACATGGGTGTTGGAAGGCTCTGTGCTCAGATGCAGAGAATAACAAGTCTTCTAATCTCTCCAATAAAGTATTTCTCAATTCAATTTGCACAATATCTTTGCATAACTGTGCATTCCACACAGATGATGATGAATGGGTTATATTTATGCTCAAAATGGTTAACAAAAGGGCTTCCAGCCACAGGCAGCTCATAGTCACAAGGCAAATGTTTCATCAGGCAAGGATAGGCAGAGATGGATTGCAAATATCCTTGCTTTGCAAGGAAAACACAAACATGTGTTTGTCAATATAAATTACTCAAGAAATTAACAACAGGAAAATGCTTTTTGCTCTTGGTTTTTCTAAACATAAAACAATTGAATACATTTAGACATTGTAATATATTTTCCTATGACTGAAATTATATAACTCATTGATAAATGCATGTTTCATTAATGTAAAAAGTAAGCAATTCCATGAAGAGTCATTGCTATTGGAACAGTATAAAGCACCATGAATGGCAGGTTCAAATGAGACACTAAAGTGACAAAACAGAGTAAGTGAGGAAACCAGAAATTGGCATTTTACTTCTAAGGGTGAGATGGTTGAGACATAGGATACAAAAGCTGCTGGGAGAAACAAAAGAAGAAATGTCTCTGAAGTAATGGTTCAGATCTTGTGTAGCACTGTTTTATGAAAAAAACCCAAACTTAATACAAAAATGCAGACTTAAGATATGCTCCACTGCCACTCTACTAACTGAATTTTGACAGCTGTGAAGTGATAGAGAACATACTAGCAAGTCAAATTGACAGCTTCAAACACAAAGAGAATATTTGTAGCTCAGGGTTGAATGGTGAGGTTTCTGGTGCTCTCTGAGCTTGGCTGTTTTCTTGCAGAGGTTTCATTACAAAGGTAATATTATCAGTAGCTGGTAATGAGACTTCTGCAAGAAAACAAGTTCAGAAAGCACCAAGAACCTCACAATCTTCCCTTTCCATTGTCTGCCTATCACACTCTATTCTCCTTCCATCACTTTGTATTACAGTTGGAGAAAGGTCAGATTATCATCTACAAAGTTTATCTATTAAATTTGGTTGTGATGGGGTATTTATATTTTTTGACAGATCAGATAAACTACAACTTGAGTCTTAAAATAATTCTAATTTCCCCCTTTATTCTTATTACAAGAATACGATTATCAGATCTACAGCTCTCCCATCCTTCCTGTGTTTGCCTTCAAAAGAGGATGGAATGTAGGTAATCACTCAGTGGCTCAACAATTCCAAGATTATTTCTCTCTCTGCCAGAAACAGCACTCCTTCTGCTAATAGATCAGTCGACATATTCTAAAACACAGTTGCTACTTAATTCCCCAAAGAGCTAATCAAAGGTTTCAGTTAAAACTTAGCAAGCCCCTTCCATAGTAGTAAAACCTGACTTATAAATACATGAGACCAGACTCCAAAGCAATTAGATAGACGCAGTCAAGTTGGGTTCAGCTCCAGGTGACAGCATGAATAAAATATTCATCATCTTCACTTAACTTCAGTAAGCTTTCTTAATATTTGGAACTCCACTATTACTTCTAGAATCCCCTGAAGAAAAGTGAAATATTTCTCAACTTCTTGATATTATATACAAGAAGTTATCGCCCTCTGTTATCTTTATGAAGATGATAGATAACTTTCTGTGTGCAATGAACAGATGACAGAAATATAATTGTTTTGGTTAAAAAATAGGCTTCATGTTTGTCCAAGCTAATTTATCTTATACTGTTGTACAGTGGTACTCATTGATAATTAGTTCCAGGAGGCGTGATGTGTACTAAAAATGATGAGCATCACACAAAGTTTCCCCATAAGGTAGGGGTCCCCAACCCCTGATCCGTGGACCAGTACCGGTCCATGACATGCCAGCAACTGGGCCGCACAAACAAGCAAAGCCCCATCCGCGGGATGCAGGCAACACATAAAACGATGCCCCCTCCGGTCCATAGAAAAACCTCTCTCCATGGAACTGGTCCCTGGTGCCCAAAACGTTGGGGACCTCTGCCATAAGGAATAATGTAGTGAGTCACAATGCAGCCGACACCAATTTTTAGCTTATGTATCAAGCACCAAACAAACAATGAGGACAAAATGTTCATGTCAAAATGTATTGAGTACCAAATTCAATGTGTTTCAAAGCAGTTGAATACCAAAGTACCACTGTATTTATTTTTGTTAATAAAAAGTTATTGGAAAATGTCTATATTCTACATACAAGGGATAGGTCTGACATTCATTTTTACATTTCATTTTTCACTGATGAAAATGTTTGTGTTGTCACTCCCTCCCCCCTCCCCCCCTCTCTCTCTCTCTCACACACACACACACACATACACACAACACTATAACGTATTTACAACAACTTACTCTTTAGGAGGATTTAGGTCCTCTGGCCTTATCTCAAAAAACTGAAGAACCTCATCACACTGAGAAATGTATGGCGGCAGCTGGATCAGAGCCTAAAAAACAAACATACCTGTGATTTATAAAACAGTGATATTTAATCAAAATAGTAAGCTGTTGGAAATGCATCAAAAATTGACTGTCAGCTTTATTAGACATGAATGGACATTTTAATGAAAAAAAGATAGCATGGACCCCATTTCATATATATGGGTTACTAACCAAATAGAATAAAGACTAGAACATTGCTAGGAACAACTGAAGAGTAAGTAAAAAATGTTTATGTATGTAGTAGAAACAATGGTTTGAAAAAAAAGTTGATTATGAATTGTCTTGATCCTAACACTTAAGCACCCTTGCCATATACAGTATTTTGAATTCCTGGGCAAATTACTTACTTTTTAATTCACCAGTTTGCCCATCTATTAAGATTTATTAATACTATTGCCTATCATGTTGTGAATGGATGCCCATGATATTTTAATGTAATGTGTACATTCAATTGTGATTTCACTAATAAACCACAGCATAATTATAAAGCCACCGTTTGCAGTGTGAATAACCATTTGCTGAAAGCAGAGAGAGATTTGTACAGCTTCTCGGGCTTTGAAAATGCCATAAATATTCCCTGATAATGTTACAGAACAGAAACAGAGAATCTAATTGGTAAAAAGGAACACAAAGTTTAATTTTAGTTTTAATTGAGTATGCTATCTTAATTTTTTCCATATATCCAGATTTTCTTTAACTTTCATGGATCTACTTCAAATGGCTTAATTACTAGCTGGAATACTCCAGAACTCCAATGTAGAAAGTACAAATTCTGCTAAATTCTTCTTCTCAGACTCCTCATTTATTTTCTTTCATAAAAATTAAATCTAACTTTCAAAATAGCAGGTTATGGTCATAGGTCCGAGTCAAGTAGCTCACATCATCACCTTGAACATGTATTTTTCTTATGAATAAAGGCAAACATTTATTTTTCTCCCCACCAGTACTCTAAAAATTTATATAGAAGGAAAAGGTTAAAAAAAATACTCTATGTGAACCAAACAGGAAAAAATGAAGTAACCCCTCTAGAGCAGACATGTCAAACTCGTGACATCACCTGACATCGCACAACATATCATGACTGTTTTGCCATTGCCGGCAATGGGGTGGGTGCGGCTTCCACGTAACGCGTCCAGCCCATGGGCCGGCAGTTTGACACCCCTAGGGGGTGTCTAGGGAGTTAGAAACTTGGTTATTTGGCTATTGCTCAGGAAACTCAACTCCTCTCCACTGGAAGAGGACAGGAATAAATTTTTACATATCTTATAAAACTTTTTATGTAGTGTTGCTATAAGAGGCAACCTAGGAACCAAGTGTTGCCTAAATGCATTTCTGCTATTCCTAAGGAAGGCTTTCTACATCATGACTGGCCTCAGAGGCAGATCTTCTCAATAAATGTAGCCAGCCAGCAAATAAGCAATAACTGATATTCTCTAATTTAATCTGAATTAGTTTAGATTAGTTTATAAACTAACTTATTTTCCCCAACAAATTATTTTCTTTCAACATTCTCCATCTACATAGCAGACTTAGGAATATAGCAAAATCTGGAAATCCTTTCTTCTGTCAGCCCTTTTGGGTAGATCCAATCAGAAAACAGACTCCAAAGGACTAGAGTTAACTAGAATTGTAATTAACTGAGATGGGTTATAGTAACAGGATCTTGCAAACCTGATTGTGCTTTACTTCCCTTTCCTTATATATCCCGGTAATCAAGGAGGACCCTGCCTGAGTCTCCTCTGAATACTATCTTCCTTCCCAGGACTTAAGGAATGTTTCAGCCCTCTTAGCTTAAGTAACAGTTCTTCTCTAGTCCTTCTTGATTCTCTACAGTTTCTGCTTAACTATAAATGCAGGCATTTGTCTAACACAAGATATCTATTTTATCTTTCCACACCTGTTATTCTGCCAAAGATCCAAGACTTTTTAAGCTATATATATATATATATTCATAAAGACACTATTGGAGGAAGTCAACTGCTAACTACTAAGAGATCTGTATTACCAGTAGCTTTCCATAATTTCATGCACTTCAGATATGTTTGGGAACCAGTTTGGAGAATTCCTACTCAGTTAAGTAGGAGTTAAGTAAGAAACAGTTCTAGAGGGTACTAAATTGGGAAAACTAAATCTATTCCTTTAAATTCACTTAGGTTTCCCAACATGCATAATACATTCAGGCATATACTGATTTTTCTTTTATTATAGCAATACCAGATAAGGATATCTTTAAGAAACAAAAGGGGAAGAATAACCTACTTTAAATGGTTAATTTTAAAAACTTACATAACTGCATGAATGTTAAATTGATTAAAATTCATGTAGACATTTTTAATAAACCAACAAATCTCTTTCATAAAATAGGTCCAAGACAGCATAAAATGTAATTCATTTAGTCGTCATTGGCCTATTAGATATTTTAAACGTGGAATTTGATTATTTCTTTATTTCTGTTTTTCTTTTTCATTAAAGAGAAGTAACATATGATCAAGGAGAGATATAACCTTAAAGTAAGGAGAAATTTCTTGACAATGAGAGCAATTAACCAGTGGAATGGTTTCCCTCCAGAAGTTGTGGGTGCTCCATCACTGGAAGTTTTTAGGAAGAGATTGAATAGCCATTTGTCTGGCATGGTATAGGGCAGGGGTAGGTAACCTTGGCTCTTTTATGAGTCGTGGACTTCAACTCCCAGAATTCCTGAGCCAGCATGGCTGGCTCAGGAATTCTGGGAGTTGAAGTCCACGAGTCATAAAAGAGCCAAGGTTGCCTATCCCTGGTATAGGATCTCCTGCCTGAGCAGAGGGTTGGACTAGGAGACTTCCAATTTTCTTCCAACTCTGTTATTCTATATTCTGTTTAGTGTTTGGAATCAGCAAATACCAATAAGATGGTAAACCTGATTTTCATGTAGGTTTTCCCACCCAATGGTCAAAAGCATTTCATAACATTCATTCTGAGAATGCCTAACTCTTTTCTATTAAAAGTTAGGATGCCTAACTTTTCTATTCTATTTCTATTAAATCTCCTGTTACTATGCAATGGCTATTTCTTCTTGGATTTTGGGCTATGATACTATATTATTGAAAGAATTTATCATTTATTTTCATAAAAATATTACAAGATCATCCTTGGAAATGATACTTTCCCTCTTTATTTCTCCCAAGAAAGCAAAATAAGAGAAGTGATAGTTGCTTATGCAGCTTGTCAAAAGGACGTGGTTAATCTTAATTCTTGCAGCATTCAGCAACATTTGCTAAATATCCACAACCACAGCAATTTCCATGTGTTATTTTGTTTTTACTTACAGTATATGGAAAGATTTCCCCCCTGTCTCTCATGGGAGAAAGTACTAAACCAAGGATACTACTACTGCTGAAGTGAAACTCATACTGGGAGAAACTAGAATTGCTTACCTACAGGTTCCATAGCATTTTTACAACCCCTTCTCCCTAGTCACCAAATCCATACAGTATGTGCCATTTAGTTGGAAGGCAGTGCAGTTTATGAGACTCACCAACTTAAACAAAATGCTAGAATGGCCTATACTACAATTATAATTATGCCAAATTTATTTGGTATATTTAATCTTAAAACCTGGGACTGTTGTTTAGAAGCTGGTTCAGTTTTGTATAGAATTGTCCTCTCTGTGCATTTTCCCCAAAGAAACAAATATTTTAGAAACATATTAAATAATATGCAATTAACTTGGGACCACAAAAGCAAATTATGTAGTAAACCAAACATACAAAGGGTGCAAATGATAAAAAAAAGCCAGAATGATTTCTTCCTGTGGTTTGTAAATGATACTACTATTGATGAAAACTGAAACTGATCTGAATTTTCTACAGTCATATTGTATTGTGAAATCATGTTCAGTGTGCAATCAACTATTTCTTCAAGACTGTTCTCAAAAACAGACCCAGAAAACTACAGACTAATCAGCCTGGCACTAATACCTGAGAAGATACTGGAAAAGATAATTAAAAAAAACAGATCTGTGAACATCTAGAACAGTGGTTCTCAACATTTTTAATGCCGCGACCCCAACCGGTCATAAGTCGAGGACTACCCAACCGGTCGTAAGTTGAGGACTACCCAACCGGTCGTAAGTCGAGGACTACCCAACCGGTCGTAAGTCGAGGACTTTCCCTGCCTGGGAACACCACGCATGCGTGGTGCCGCCCCCTACGCCGGCCAAGGCGTAGCTGGCAAGCGGCAGAGACGGCGCAGGCTAACCACCGGCTGGGCCACCATCTGGCCCAGCCTAAGGGAGGTAAGGCACCTGCCGGGCCCCACGCGTGCCAGCAACCCTCCCTGCGCCCGCGGCCTCCCACCTCCCACTCCTGGACCTCTTTTACTTACATTTTTAGTAGTTGCTCAGCAGGAAGGGTTGGAAACTTCTAGACAACTCACCTTCGCTGCAGACAACTTGCAGCACCGTTTGCAGAATGGGGCTTTTGGCGGGCTCAGCAAGGCAGAGACAGCTTGGACAATTCCTATTGGCTTTTGAAAGCCAATAGAATTAGACTCTATTCAAGAGAGTCTATTCTATTGGCTTTCAAAAGCCAATAGAATAAAAGGGAGTAGCACAGCTAAGGAAAAGGGGGAAAAAATGGCAGACTGCGTTGTTTGGCGACCCCCGTGAAATGGTTGTTCAACCCCAAATGGGGTCCCGACCCACAGGTTGAGAACCGCTGATCTAGAAACAACTACAGTTATAACTAAAAGCCAGCATGGGTTTGTTCAAAACAGATCATGCCAAACCTATCTTATTTCATTCTTTGACAAAGTGACTAAATTAATAGACCAGCAAAATGCTGTGGACATAGTATACTTAGACTTTAGCAATGCATTCAACAAAAGTAGACCACAACCTACTTCTTGGTAAGCTAGAAAAATGTGGGATAGACAGCATCACCACCAGATGGATTTATAGCTGGCTGATAAACAGTACTCAATGAGTTGTCCTTCATGGTACTACATCTACATGGAGGGAAGTACGCATTGGGGTACCACAAAGTTCCATCTTAGACACAGTATTCTTTCAATATCTTCATAAATGATCAGATGAAGTACTAGAAGGGGAACTCATCAAATTTGCAGATGACACTAAGCTGGCAGGAATAGCTAATACCCCAGAAGACAAGCTCAGAATCTAAAAAGATCTTGACAAACTTGAACAATGGGCCCTTTTCAACAAAATGAAATTTAATGTGGAGAAAAGCAAGGTTTTATACTTAGGCAGGAAAAACCAAAGGTACAAGTAGAAATTAGGCAAAACCTGGCTCAAAAACAGTAATTGTGAGAGGGACCTTTGAGTCCTATTGGACGTTCACTAAAATATGTGCCAGTAGTGTGTAGCAGCAGCCAAAAAAGCTAATACAATCCTTGGTTGCATAAAAAGAAGCATAGAATCAAAATTGCATGAAATATTAGTACTGCTTTATAAAACCTAATAAGGCCACACCTGGAATACTGTATCCTGTTTTGGTCACCACATTACAAAAAAGATGTTGAGATTTTGGAAAAAGTACAAAAAAGAGTAAGGAATTGGGTTTGGCTAGTCTAGAGAAAAGAATGACTAGAAGGGACATGATAGCAGTATTCCAGTATTTGAGAGATTGCCACAAGAAGAAAGGGGTCAACTTATTTTCCAAAGCACCAGAGGGCAGGACAAGAAACAATGGATGGAAACTAATCAAGGAGAGAAGCAACCTGGAATTAAGGAGTAACTTCCTAACAGTGAGGACAATTAACTAGTGGAACAGGTTGCTGCAGAGGTTGTGGGTGCTTCATCAATGAAGGTTTTTAAGAAGAAACTGGACAGTCACTTGTCTGAAATGTATAGGGTCTCCTGCTTGAACGGGGGTTGGACTAGAAGACCTCCAAGGTCCCTTCCAGCTCTATTCTGATTGATTGACTGATTGAAAGTACCGTTGCCAAGTCACATATCTCCCATCCAATAGCTGTTTTTTTTTATTTTGCAAATCAAGAATTTTGCATTTGTCTTCATTAAATTTTATTTTTTTTAAAGTTCAGGCCATTTCTCTAACCGCATCAGCATTTTTAATTTTTTTAATTTTTGTTTCCTAGAGGTATTAGCAAACCCATTCAATTTTGTGTCACCTGCAAAACTGTAATACAAAACTGTTTTGTATTCTCATCCAGATCATTAATAAAAAATATTAAACAGTTGAAAACGTAGGACTGCACCTTGAGGAGATAGGTACCTTTCTCCAATGTGACAAGAAGCAGTCAACTACGATTTTCAAGCCAGCAATATATTCACTTGAAAGTTATTCCCACCTAGAACATACAAAATCAGATTGTGAATTAACATCCCATTAGACATTGTACTTCATCAAGGCATTGCTGAAGTCAACATACATTAGGTGAATAGCATTCACACAATCTATCAAAGGCACCCAATCAATACATGAGATAAGGTTAGTCTGGAAAGATTAGTTCTGACCACAGGTAAATACTGTATTGTTTTGAGGACATTTACACTCTGATCTCTTTATGACCTGCTCTACAATCCTTCCAGGTATTGATGTCAGACAGATCTATACTGTACTTTGCTGAATCTCCCTTTTGTTCCCTTTTTTAAAAAAAACAACACCACTTGCCTTCGTCCAGTCATCTAGTACTTCATCAGTACTCCAGGATTTCTCAAAGCTAAATTCATAAGAGTTTGGCTATACCACCAGCTACTTTCTTCAGTATCAAAGATAAAATTTATCTGATCCTAAATATTTATTTTTTCAAAAAGTATCCCTGAACAGGTTTTATCACACTCAAGCTTTTCTCTTGCCCCCTTTAACTTACTGTTCATAATCTAGTTTTGGTCATCATGATGTAAAAAAGATGTTGAGACTCTAGAAAGAGTACAGAGAAGTGCAACAAAGATGATTAGGGGACTGGAGGCTAAAACATATAAGGAACGGTTGCTGGAATTGGGTATGTCTACTTTAATGAAAGAAGGACTAGGGGTGACATGATGGCAGTATTCCAATATCTCAGGGGCTGCCACAAAAAAGGGCCTGAAGGCAGGACAAGAAGCAACGGATGGAAACTAATCAAGGAGAGAAGCAACCTAGAACTAAGGAGAAACTTCCTGACAGTTAGAACAATTAAACAGTGGAACAACCTGCCTCCAGAAGCAGTGAATGCTCCAACACTGGAAGTTTTTAAGAAGAGACTGGACAGCCATTTGTCTGAAATGGTATAGGGTTTCCTGCCTGAGCAGGGGGTTGGACTAGATGACCTCCAAGGTCCCTTTCAACTTATTATTGTTGTTGTTGTTGTTGTTACTGGTAGAACAGTTTTGGGGGAATTGTATAGTTCTGCTTTTTCTTTATATACAGATCCTTTCCCATTAATTTTGAATACATCTGAAACAGTCCTTTTAGTCTTAAATATTTCACCTAACTCATCTGGATATTTCATTTTGCAGACATTCGTTCTACAGTTCTAGATTAGTTCCCTGTATTCTTCCTTCTTCATCCAACCCTGTTTTCCTTCCTAAATGTGTCCTTTTTCTTTTCAGATTTTTGCTTTGCATGGCCATTGTGGCTTTTTCTGTTGTCCTCCATTTTTTCCTTTGGAATTGTTTGCAGTTGTGCATTTTGTATCTCCTTCTTTAGGAAATACCACCTATCTTGAGCTCTGTTTTTTTCTTTTCTTTTTGCCATGCATGAGTTCCCTTGAGGTAAAATGGGCAGTTATAAATTTTATGAATGAATGAATGAATGAATGAATGAATGAATGATCATTACCCTGATTATATGAAAATCTGCTCCTTTTTTTGAAGTTCAAAATATGGGTCAACTACACTTGTTTTTCACCACTGGAAAACCTGAAGAACCAGGTTAGGGACAGATCATTATGCAAAGAATCTATGTGGTCACTAAAAGTGACACCAGCTCGATGGCACATAAACAATCAACCTTCCTGTCTTGCTTTGTTTCACTTTAGAATTGTATACAGTGGAAATTCCAGGACCAGATTTACTTTGCATTAGTGCCAAATCTTTTTAGACTAAGAAATACATACATCTATTCAGAATCTCAGGCACATTATGTACTTTTTTATCTCTATAATTTGTCTTCCTATGAAACAGAGATTACAATAAGCTAGGCAGACATTCACACACGTCCTTGTGCATTCAAGACAATAATTTTAGGGTAGACTTAATCAAAATTTCAAATGTGTCCAAGAGCCAACTAGATTTGGGACTCCTGTAACTGAGCAGTAACTGTATTATAAAGGCTATTATTTGAAGGATATAATGTGAATTACTTTCAGCAGTGGGAAAATAGAACAATCTAATGGAAGTAACTTCTCTCCAGCTGAGAGTTGCTTTCATGTTTCAGCTAAGATCTATCAAGGAATATGTTTGATGATAAGTGATTGAGTAATAAATGAGGCTAAATTAGAATTTTATTCGCTTGGCATTAATAAAATCATTATGTCATCTACTTACTAACATGGTTCTAATGACAATGTATTCACCATAATTCAGCATTTAATAGTGAATTTCAAATACCGAACAAACCTAATGATAATATATTAATAATAAATCAGCATTTCCATAATGCATTATAAAGGATCTAATGAGAGAAAATGCACAATTATTTAACATTTACATAGATACTTTATAAAGCTGCAGTATTCCTGAAACAAACAAATATAACTCTATACCAGGGGTGTCAAATTGCTGGTCTGCGAGCTGGATGCATCATAGTGAAACCATGCCCACCCCATTATCAGCCATGGCAGAAAAGTTGCAATACGTCGCAGCACATCACGTGATGTTGTGAGTTTGATATCCCTGCTCTATACTAACTGAAATTGCTTGCAATTTTGTTCATCTGGACATTTTGGAGTTCTGGGATGGACACACACACACACACACACACCAAACTTCTCAGCTGCCCATCTCCCTCATAGAGGAACATACAACTAATACAAGTAGTACCATGTTTCCCTGAAAGCCCTATCCCAAAAATAAGCCCTAGTTTTGGGATGAGGCACATACCTAAAAATCAAGCTAGGGTGGGGGTGTGGAGCTGCCCCATGCACCCTGCTCCCTTACCTTGCAGCCAGGCCTCTCTTCACCGGCCCACTTCTTCTTCTGCATCCTCAGGCCTGCATTTCAGTCAGAGGCCTTTCTGGAAGGCCTCTGCAGCTAAGAACCGAACTATGGATTGAATCCATAGCTCGGTTCTTGGCTGCAGTAGCTTTCCAGAAAAGCCTTTGACTGCAGAATGCAGGCCAGAGCTCCATTCTCAGCTGCACAATTAAGCTGTTTCCTTCGGCTGCAAAAGAAATGGGTCGGTTGGGTGGGGCTGTTGGTGCCAGAGGTGAGAGGAAAAGACACTCCCTGAAAATAAGGCCTGGGTGCCTCTTTTAGAGGATTGTATTTTCGGGAAAACATGATTGGATTTTGGGGGGAAGAAAGCAGGTGCCCCCCCTCAATTCCAAGTCTTTATAAAGTAACCTTCTACTACTTGGTAGTACTTTCTGATCAGATATACACAACAACTAAGGGAACAACTGTAACATTCCAGGTCACGTGAAAATGCATAAATATGAACCAACGATGATGATTGTGTATAATAAGGAGCCATATGTTGAAAGTGGTGCCCTAATCAAACTAATAAAAAATATCCATTACCTTACAATACTCATCAATGGGTATAAGGCGCTTAATAGCAACATCACGGATATGGCTTCGTCGGAAGAGAATTTTGCCTATGATAAATAACATAAAAAAAGAACAAAGTTATTAGTTGTTTTATTAGAAATTCACTCTAGTGAATACTTTGAGGTGGCAATAATCCTTAGTCAATTGTATATGAATATACTTTTCAATGTAATCATTTTCCCATTTTGAAACTCAACACATTGGGAAGGTACCAAATTTGGAAAAGGAAAAAGGACACTCAACGATAGAGCTGTTTTATTCATATCTATGATAAATTGAAACTTTTAGAAACTTGAATCTTCTGGGAAATATAGGTGGATTTGAGGTGAAAGTGGAAGATTTTTCTCTCTATTACAAGTTCTTTCCAAGATAGCCCTCTGGGAAAACTATTAGACAGTTCTTTCTGATATACACAATAGCAAAAGGACATAGAATACACCAAACTCTTAGATGTATACCCCCAAATAATATGGAACTAATCAGTGAAAAGCAAAATACTGTTTGTATCAATTTGTCAGTATAATGAAACGGAAATAGCATATGGAATTGTCATAAGTGCACTGCAGATTTACACCATTTTCTGAGAGAACCTTTCAGTTTTCCCCAATATGATGTATTGGACTTCCAGATGGTTTGGACTTCCTTGTCAGTCATCTGTAATTCTAAGAACCACAGGAGGCCATCGGAGCAGAAAAATATTATTTAAACTCAGCCACTAGATACTAATAGAATATAATTAGCAGATACATATGCCCCATTAGGAAAAGTGATACATAATTCATTCATTTATTTACAATATTTTTATATTTCCCACTACAAAGATTCCAGGAGTATACAATAAAAATATTAATTTTAAAATGTCATCCTATAAAATAGCAATATTTTATATATAAAAACCGCATGAAACCATACCTAAAAGTAATTAAGTAAATAATCATTTGCAAATTGTAGTAGCTTAATGCCCAATCTGAAAACAAATCTCTTCTTAACAACTTTTTATTGCATATTTCAAGGAGATTGTTATTTAAAAAGCTAATAATATCAGTATATATAATTGATTAAAAACCATCTATTTTCAGGCTGATAGTAAGCGTTTATTCAAGCGAGATTACTGAAGGAAATGATATTTCCAAATATTTTTTTAAAGACACAATTATACAAATAGCAATTTCACATTGATCTTCCCAGAGCCAAACAGAAAACTCCCATAAACTGATTGCAAGGTTGCAAAAGGCGCTATGGGTTTTTATTTTAAATTACTTTAACTGTCTTCTACTTCAATTTTATTTGCAAAAAAACCAGGAAAACTGAAAATTGATTTCATTCGTTTCCTGAAATATTTGATGCTGCCAAATCATTTTACTGGCTAAGTCTATTTGGAGATGAAACTTTGAAATACAAAAGAATGTACAGCAACGGGAACTATGAGTTGACAATCCAAAGACATTGTTTCTTTTTAAAGCAAATCAAAATATGCTATATAAAATCATTTGAAGAGCTGTTTAGAACAGCACGTTTGAAAGCAAAAGCTGACCCTGTAATATTTAACTTTTGTTTTTGGCTGTAACTTTATAATTTGCTTTTGCTTTTTTTTATTTTGTTTATGCTTTCCCCCTTTAAGTGCATATCAAAATTATATGGTAGCTTGTCACTATGCAGAATCAAAATCTTGATTTAATAGGAGTCTATTTTCAAAGACATGACCTAGCAGAACACAATCACATTTCTGACATTTATCAATCTTTGTGGCATCCTCAACCTCTTTGCTGGTTGTTTTATTTATTGTTCATATTTATTTGGTTGCCCACCTGACTTTAGGCATGCACAATAAAACCAGCTAATAAACCATTAGGGCGAAGGTTTCTGACCTGGTACTCCGCTGAAGATGTTACTTAGCCTGATAATGAAACATTTGGAAACCAGTGCACAAGCTTGGAGAACGAACCTTCATTCTCATCCTACACCCGAGCTACAGATATTCGCCACTATTGCAAATAAAACATTCTTTAAAAAATATCAAAACAATTAGACATAAATAGAAATAAGATCATGAGAGAATGCTTCAGACTCTTACACATACAGGTAGTCCTCAACTTATGATCGATTGCTTAGCAACCATTTGAAGCTACAACTGCCGCTAAATGACTGACCCCTTTTATGATTGTTACAACATAGGGATGTAATGGGCAGACTCCATTATGATTGTATGTTGAGGACTACCTGTAATACAACCAATATGCAGGTTCCTTGTTACCAGGAGATCCCCAGGTCTGCTAAAAAATCCCATACACATCTGGAAGATCACTAGGATCGTGGACAATCACACCCCCAGGGTGATGATATTCCAGAGGTAGATGCCATGGGAGAAAAAGCTCGTCTCCTAGGTCCTATCTGATGCCACGCATTAACAGGCAGGACTTATGACTTGCCTGTTCTGCTAAACCTGATGGGATGGGTAGATGTAACTGGGAGAGGCAGTCCCTCCGATAACCTGGCCATGTAACATATAAGGTTTTAAAGGCCAAAGGAGTACTTTGAAATGCCAGCATTATCTATAAGGCACTAGATTTATTCCCTGTAAAACAAATTTAGACATTCAGATCTAACTGCCATCATGTCAAAAATGATTTTAAGGAATTCCTTCCAGGAGACATTTTTAAGATATTTCTCCTTTTTTCCTATATCAGTGATGGCGAACCTTTTAGAGACCCAGTGCCCAAACTGCAACTCAAAACCCACTTATTTATCACCGGGTGCCGGGTGGTTGTGGTCGCGGTAGTCATACAGACTGGGTGGGGGGGACCAGGGCAGCGGGGGCCAGCCATCTCCGGGGCACGGCATGCGTGCCCACAGAGAGGGCTCTGAGTTCCGCCTCTGGCACACATGCCATAGGCTCGCCACCACTGTCCTATATGGAACAAATTTAATCACCATGGAAAGGAGGGAAGTTAGTGGTGGGATTCAGCCAGTTTGCACCGGTTCAGTAAAACTGGTAGCTAATTTCTTTTGAGTTCGGAGAACCAGTTGACACGTGGCAGAAACGCCACCCCTCCCACCCCCGATCAGACCCATGTGACACCTTCTTTCCAGCTCCAATGCGGTCCTCCGTCACTTTTTCCGCCACTGTGAGCAGTCCCACAAATAAAAGAAGTTTATGGGACTAAACAAAAAAGTTCAATCAATTCCAATTTTGTGAGGTCTTTTTTTTTTTTTTGCAAGACGTTGGAATTGATTGATCAAACTTTTTTTTTTTAGTCCCACAAACTTTTGCTTCTGGGACTGCACATGACAGTGGAAGAAGTGACAGAGGAGCTAGAGAGAAGGTTAGAAAAGAAATGGTTTGGGAAGCGAGGGCATCTGGGCGGTGGTGGGTAGGGCAAGATCTCCAACTCCACGATGGCAGAGAAATGCTTTTCAGCTCTGGCGCTCTAACTGCCGTTTCTATGGCTGTGTGGGCAAAGCTACGAAAAGGGCTTGGAAGGGAAGTGAAAGGGAAGAGGGTGGATGGGCAGGTGAAGAGAGATCTGCCTAAGCTGTCCTGAGAAGAAAATTAAAAGCAGTCCCTGCCTCGCCCGCCGCCAGTTCAGAGAATCCGCCTCTGAGCTGGCTGGCTAGCCAGCTGACAGCTGAGGTGCTGCAGTGAGTCGTGCCCGGGAAAAGGAGAGCATGCGAGACCAGGACAGGGGGGAGGGAAACCAGCCATGTTGGGATGCATCTGGCCATGTGGGACCTTGGTGAGTTAGCAGGCAGCTGGTTGAAGAAAGGGATGGTTGCAGTTCTGCCTGCTTTATTACACCGCAGGCTATTAACAGGCAGCCTGCTCCATTTCATTAAAAATAAAAAGTTTTTTTTAACGAAATGGAGCGGGCTGCCTGTTAATAGCCTGCCCCATAATAAAGCAGGCAGAACACCGACCGTCCCTCTCTTCAGCCACGTGCTCTCTAATTTTGGTTCCATAGGAAGAAGGCAGGTATCAAATGGCGACTTATTATTTTTTCTCCAAACGCCGTGGTACGGTGTTAGAACTGATAGCTTTCAGGGAGACCGTGTGGTCGAGGAAGGTACCACTTGTAATCAAAAACATAAGAGGCACTGTCCTGCATCATGGTGAACCGGCCACGGAGCCCCTTCGGCGCAGGCAGAGACAGCCCCTGGATGGCTGGAAAGGAGCCCTCGCCCAGCCCGGGCCCTGTCTGCTTGGCAGCTCTGACGGGGGCAGTGGTGGCTGCTGCTACTGCTGCTGCTCTGAGCCCCTCAACCCGCCAGCACTGCAGGGAAGCAGGAGGCAGCGGCGATCCGTGAGTTGCCTGGCCTGGCCAGCAGCAGCTCTGGAAGTGAAGCTATGCCGCCCGTCCTTGCACTAGTGGGGGTGGCACCTGGTGGGGTCCCGGCTGCTCTGATTCCCTCCCTGCCAGCTGCTCCCCCTCCACCCCCCTGCTCGGCGCCCCTTCTATGCAATCCTACGTGACCACAGTGTGGATGAGAGGCTCGGCCAGCGGGGGCACGGCTTTTCCCCATGGAGGCATCCCAGCCCTCTTGCTCCCCTAGCCTGACCTCACCTTCGCCCAGCCAGGACCTGCTGACCCCCCCACTCTCCTGCACCCACCCCATTCCAAGACTCCTGCACCCCCTCTATCGTACCCTCCTGCTCCCCCAGCTGGGACTTCCAGCAATTCTGCAACCAGGAGGTCCTGCCCCCCCACCGGGACCTCCTGCCCCCACCCTAGTTGATCCCCCGAGCAGCCCACCCCAACTAAGACGGAGAGAAGGTGAGACAGAGAACCAGTTGTTAAATTATTTCAAACCCATCACTGAGGGAAGCCCTACTTTATATAATTCGCAGAACTGAACTCAAATTCTATAAAATCACCTTTATATATTTAAATATTTCTTTGAAAAATTGTTTAATAGCAAGTCAGTTTTCCAGTGAGTTGGTTTAGAACAATTTACTTTATATTTAAAAGTCCAAAAACATCTAGGTTGGATTATCTGAGATTCACAGCCAGCAGAAATAAATTAAAATTTACAACCCATATCTTCTTATTGA